GTAAATGGGGACAGATGGGAGAAACTATCCCGATGAGGGGGACGAATAAGAACAAGAAAGGGGGACGAAGAAGAAGGAGAAAGGAAGAACAAGAAGAGGCAGATGGCGGGTGGTAGTAGATGGCAGGCGCTTCGAAACAGCAGCCGGATGTACCAGATGGCGGGCGCTTCCAAACAGATGGCGGGCTGTTCATGAGGAATGGGTGAGCTGTCGGGCGAGGGTAGGTGTCCCAATGTCGAGGCCGAGACAGAGGCGATCAGTCAAAAAAAAAAAAAAAAAAAAAAAAAAGGCGGGATGTCAGGCGTGGGAAAATGTCGGGAGTTAAGTCCGAGGTAGAACTGCTAAGGACGAGGAAGAAGAAATGAAAGGAAGAAGAAGAAGAAGAAAGGAATAAGAAGAAGGAGGAGGCGGACTTCCAGCACCGGGGGGGGGGGGGCGCGAAGGCCACCCGTCAAGCTGAGGAAGTATGTCGGCCAGGCCGGGAAACCCAACCGGCCAGGCCGCCTGGGACTCCCACCGAGCAACAGCCCGGCGACCCGGCGGCCTGGCGACCAGCACAGTGAAAAACAGAATTGCCTTTAAACCACCGGTACCTCCGAGCCTCTTTTCCCCGAGGTGGATTTGTGCTGCGCGGCAAAACAAAAAGAAGGGAAAGTGCCTTGGCTACAGGCATCATTGTCTCTGCCACAATCACTACAATGCCATGGTTTCTGCATCCATGTGTCCAGAGGACTGTCCCTCCTTTCCTGACTGCAGGCACGCTCTACATCCGGACATCATGTGTCCATTTTGTAGCCATGGACATTATACTCAATGCAGAATGCTTCCTTCATGCCCAGTGAAACGTCGACAGAAAGGGAGAAAAGGGCAAGAAACGGGGGGTGTGACAGACTGTACGATCGGAAGGAGTTTCACCGACTCATCAGAAGGTCTGCAGAATCCTCTAACCGACGATACTGTAAGCGATAATCCACCTTAACCCCAGTTGCTGTTGGGGACCAAGCACTCTCCCTCTGACTGATATCCTAAGGGAGGGCAGTGGTAGGCTCCAACCACTGCCCTCAAGGGTACCTGTGACAAAAGAATCGAAGCAGCCTAGCACCCAACCACACCAGCTGGAAGACTCTACAGACTGTAGGCTCACATCCCATCATAAGGCAACTTCCAAGGAAACAAAGATCTGGCACAGCCAGAAAACACTCCAGACACACACCGCTGGCACTAGAGCCACAGCATGACCGGCTAGCGACTGCCCTGGTCACTGCACCCAACCTCACCGGAGGAAACCATCGCATGGGGCTCGCAAAGTCGTATACGTATTATACAAGGCATATGCTGTAGAAATAGATCCTTCATTACCTACCGAATCCCACTTGTTCAATCTATCAGCTGCAGGGCTGCAACACAGTGACAGCATGTGGGGCAGGCAGGAGGTGACGTCCAGGAAGGTGGGGAGGGGGTTTGAAGTCTGAACAGAACTCGGAACCCGCATTCATGGTTCAGGTATCCCAACCCTTGCATTAACTCACCGTCTTCAGGTTGCCCTGAGAGTTGACCATTGACACACCACCGCACAAGCGGCAAGCGATGAGCCCCAAGCTAAAAATATCTGCAGCCATCGTCGCGGGTCCAGAGTTGTTCCGGGTGAGCTCGGGTGCCACATAGTCGAGCGGTGGCTGAAGAGGTAAGCTTGGCTGAGTCATATCGTATTCCTGCACCCATCCACGGAAAACAGTAAAACCTACTTAATCAAGATAAAACATGATAAACCGCAAGTTGGTGAGATGGGCGGAGGACAATACTGTAGAGAGTAACTCAACACCCCAAAGATGGTGTGGTCAGGGGATACAATAATGCAACGGCATAGATTCTACTGAGAGAAGATGAGATTGACATATATACTTTTGTAATAAAGGAGGGTTTAACACAAAATGCATCTTCTCATTTCCCCTCCTCCCCCCCCCCCCCCCCCCCGCCACTGCTCCCTCCCAATTCAACAAAATCATTCGACATGTTTGTTTAAGGTTACTCTAGTCCTTTTTTTTTAACCTTTTTCCTTGACTTTTGGGTCAGACAGACTGAGACTATAGCATCAGGTGGAGAGGAGAAACATGACACACAAAAAACAAGGACTGTACGCAAAGGCAGCAAACTCTCCCTGCTGCAGTTACACTGGGATGCCGCCATTTCGCTGGCCCCCCTACAGTCTTCCCTCAAACGCAACGCATTCTACAGTGCACCCTCATATAAAAAAAAATGACTGTATCAGAACAGAAAGTCAACTTGTATACATTCACCATCACACGATCGCTCACAAGAGAAGAAAGAGCGCTCAATGGAATTAGTTCGAACACTGAAGTTCGGTGGCAAAGCTCAACCAAGGACTGGGATCCCCCCGGGACGCAACCCGTTCCTTTTTTTTGCGGATCGAGCTAAACAGGCATTCGCTAAAATGGTTAAGACGATTTCAACATTCCATCAGTTGTGCAAAATCGATTGAAAGCAAATCACGATTGATCGGAAAGTTGACGGAAACTTCACAGCAAACTTGACGAAATCATGATTTGCTTTCAATTGACTTCGCACGAGTTCGGTAGAGTATCACACCAGAGCATACTCTATGAAAACGAGACAAAATCATGCCCAATGGGAACAGACTTGTGCATTAGAGTATCACACCAGGGCATACTGTATGCAAACAAGAGAAAAACATGCCCACTTGGGAGCCTGGCTGCCCTGAGCAGCCCACAAGAAACTGCACGGAAAACAACAAAGTACAGTGGCATAACACATTCATTTTGGCTGCACCCAGACAGTCTCCTAGCAGGTCCTAAAAATAGCGCCGTTGATGATTCCCGTCATTCGAAACTTTACGAATGAAAAACTAAGTGAAGCTTACCTCACTGCTTTTGTCAAATGGATTTTGTCAAACCTCGGTAAGGGCCTACGGGGTCCTACCGAGCTCTGCCGCCCAAAGAGTTCTGTGTGTCCAGGTCCTATGCGTCCCGGGACAGTTAACAGTGCCTCCACATATTGGTCCCAGTTTCCCATTTATAGGTGGTCCCAGATTCGCATTTGGCCAGTGGCAAGCTTGAAAAAAGTAACGGCAAAAGATGGAAACAACCCGGTACTTACCTCGCACTCGGGCCAGGTCCCAGGTTCGAATCCTGCCTCAGCCCAACAACAGCTGTTTAACAGCATCATATGATAGAGCCGTCTGCAGTTTTGCTAATATGACCAGATCCAATCGTCAGATAGCTTTTCACACTTTGTAGAAATCCTCGTTCCACCCGTTCTCACCGTTTAGCTATCATTTTCAATGCCAAACACGAGGTGCTGACTGCATGAGACAGAACTACACTGTTCGTAATCTGGCAAAATTAATTATAAAAATAAATCGTCTGTATACATGGTCCTATGGCCGCAAGAGTGTTTTCTGTTATTTACTTCGGCCTCTCACTTGAAGACTGGAACTACAGCGCAAGTAGAATAGAGAGCCAAGAACGTGCTTCCAATTGGAGAAAAATTCTTTTTCCACCCTTTCAGACTGTTTCACTATCATTTCCGATGACAAACGTAAGGCAGTGACCGCATGCGACAGAACTATTCATCACGTCGCCGACCAGAACAGATGCCCACACCAATTTAACGCTTAGCAAAACACATGACTACTGAAAGCCATCTTTTTGTTTTGTCTCTTTAAACTTTGAACCTTTAAAAAACTGACATTACAGTCGATAAAGCGCATGCATATTTCCTGCACTTAGACCCCCCCCCCCGCCCTCCTCTCTTGCAAAATACACGAGGGCCAATGAGGGACAACCACATGTTACGCATGTTCTTCTCCTCTTTCGAATACAAGAGCAGTAAGGCCACTCATTTTTCTTTGTTCCACATTCCATCATTCATCGAAGTGGTAAACTACCAACATCCCCAGACCTGCTCTCTCTCTCTCTCTCTCCCTCTCTCTCTCCCTCAACGCCAGTTCCACTTTTAATGCGAGCAGTTTGGCCCAGAGCAAAGACTACAGTCTTCACCTGAATATAATGTACGGTTGTTATAGCTGTATTTGGGGCAACTTTGAGTCTCGATACAGCAATAATGACCAGGCGTTGTTCGGGTGAAAAAGGTAGCCATCGTGTCCTCCTTTTCTTTTTGTCAGGTAAGGGCGTTTTGGGACCGGGGGAAGAGGAGGGGGGGAGAGGGGGGGGGCAAATACAGCTGCTATAATAACCGTACATTATATTCAGGTGAAGACTGTCGTCTTTGCTCTGGCTCTGCAGCTTCCAGGATGCAGGAGGGCGGAGAAAGATAAAAAGAAAATTGAAAAAAGAAAGGCTAAAGCATGTGGCCCTGGTGGTCGGTTAAGAGATCGGAGAAAGTTCAGCAAACAGCTCAAAAGGGAAAGAAAAGGGAAAAAAAAAAGGAAAAAGAGAGGTTCAGAAAACAGTTCAAAAGTCAAAAAAAAGAAAAATGAAAAGAAGAAGAAAAGCACGTGGCCTCCTTATCGGGCGCCTATGGGAGCGTCTCCCGACCCCTTCACCACAGATCATCATCGGCCAAATGGTGTTCTGCCAAAAAGTGTAGGAGCCCGTCTGACGTGCTTGTCGTTTCAGTACAGAAAGCATGCAGCACCAGCACTTTTTGGTTGTCGTCCTTCAATGGTTGTTCATTTTGTTCTTTTAACTTTTTTTCCGGATTACTTGTCGATGCTCGAGTACAGGTTGACTGATGAGAGGACTGCTCCAGAGCTGTCGGTTCTAATTCATTTTTTTTCAGAGTGCAACTGCGCTTTACGCAGAGGGATCTGTGGGCGCTCGATGCTCGAGTACAGGGATCTGTGGGCGCTCCGTGCTCGAGCACACAGACGTGGCCATCAGTCCTTGCAGTCATTCTTTCACTTCTCTTTTTGGTTTTCTCATCTGCTTCCAGCAGAGTTGGAACTCGGGTCTGTATTTCGACAGCTCAGTTCAAGGGTGCACCAACTGAGCTAGGCCAGTTGGCACTTCTCATTGGTTTTTTGACAGATTCAAGAATGATGTTTTATAGCATGGGCGCACGAGACACGCATCCTGTTTATTTGTATTTTGTTGTTCACAACTTTCCATAGAAATTTAGAAAACAAAATATCAGAACGAAGGACGTGCATGCAAGTCACTGCGAGTCATCCCACTTACAGGGTAATAAAATGTCGACTGCTGCGTATCAGGTTGCTCTGGTGTTTTCTCCGCCGTTGCAAATCCAAGTCCACATAGCTTCCAAGCGCCATTTGCCCCAATTACTACAGTCTGCATATCCGAGAAGGAGAATCATAAGAAGCGGCAGACAAAAAGAGACTCTCTCTCTCTCTCTCTCTCTCTCTCTCTCTCTCTCTCTCTCTCTCTCTCTCTCTCTCTCTCTCTCTCTCTCTCTCTCTCTATCTATCTATC